GCTAGTCTGCAATGTTTATTAGATTAGTTCGACTTCCATTCATGATTTAATCATGAAATGGATAACCGAGACTATGTTTTTTTTTTATCGTACCGACTTTAGTAATGATGATCGACGCTAGGCCGAAAATTCAATCGCTAAAATCTCGGTTCAGAGTGGATCAATTTGACTGAAATTTTCACCAAATTCCCTTTACATTATCTAGTTTTTAACTATTATAGTGAAAACTGCCAGCTCTAATCTCCCATAATGTTTCTTTAATATCTGTAAAATGTAAAACCCCATTTTTGTCGCAAAGAAAATAAATTCAACACTACTTTTGAGACTGACAAATCGTTGATCGTTTTTATCTATTACGTGTGTAGTGTCATGGAAAGAAATTTACCCGGACTGGGCCTTGTTTTGTCAGTCCTTTTATAGTCAGTCCTACAGCCACCGCTACCGACAAATGGAAACCGGGGGGAGGGACCCCGAAAGTTGTGTACTATGTCTACTCTAACTGCAGATATTTATCAAGAATTCTTTGAGAATATGTTATTTTGAGCATCACAAACTGAAATATATTATTGTAGGTGGTTTAAATTTGTTTTGTTTAAATGTAGACTGGAGCCTATTATAGTTTATTTGTTATGGATAACAAATTTGCTAGAATTTGCTAATAGACTACAACCTAAATCTGTGGTTTTTTACCTAGTTATATTCTTTGTAGCTGGTTATTTTAACATTTGCATCTAATATACAAATATTTAATTGGTTATCTTAAAGGGACAATAACACCCTGGCTGGCTTGACAGCTCCAGAAAATAAAAAATAGCCTTATTCTAAGCACTAGATGTGTTAGTGTCCTACCTGTTGTGTAAATTATCCATTAAATCATATTGTACTTGTCCAGAGGGTTCAAAAATAGTTTTAAATCCAAGTCACATTTGAAAAGCTTTACGTCAGGCTTTTCAAATCATTTGGTTGAATTTTTCCAATTTTTTAAATTAGGTGTGTTAAGATGAAATTTATATCACCAATTAATTGGAATATTGTAAAATAGTACAATTTGTTGACCAGAATAAAGATTGGGACATATTATTCAGTTACAACAAGAGTGGTATTGAGCCTTTAAATTCAATGATAGATAAAACTATGTGGCACAATATTTACTGATTAGCTACAGTACAGGTATAGTAGAATGAGAAAATTTGACCTTATCATGGAAAATGTGCTCCGTACAGCTAATTTGGTTATTATGATACGATCAATCATAATTTTCACTGTATCTATAATAACTCAATTTTGACCACTCTAAAAACCCCAGCGATGATTATTTTGTTAATAGTCCTTGATTATTGTGTAATATGCTTCAAATGCAAAATGATAGCAAAAATGTTTTGACTTTACAGTTTCAAAAACCGATTGACTGAATGAAATGGTCAGTTGTATTAGTCATATCTGTAACATCAATAAACAACGTTAACATTTACTGTAACGATTCGATCTACATACTACTAAATAGAAACTATTCTGCGAGGGCGGTAGTGTAATCCGTTTATATTTCAAGTCTTTTCTTCCATGGGATTAAAAATAATACCGCTCAAATTTCTTCTAATGCCATAATATACACTACAGCGCATAGCACTATATCGCAGGGAATTTTGTTATGTTCTGGACACCCTGTTTATCAAATTTCATCACATTCCGGTCACAGTGTATGAAATATAGTAGATCATTTTTAATAAAGGATTTATCCCGTACAAAATCTACACTGGCTGCATCACGTTGTACGATACTAAATTCTAATCCGGAAAAAATTGAATTATTTAGCTAGGTAATAAATTTATTACAAGAAAATGGTATTTTGTTTTGTCAACAGCATCTAAATCAAAACGTCAAGATTTAGATCAGGGATTTCCCAACTTTTCATTTTCGTTTTCAAAGGTAAATTTATCTACAGCCTATTTTATTCAAGTACACACTTCCATCATGATTAAGCAACCGGCAAAGGTGAAATTTAAAAAATATTGTTAGTAATATTACTGTGATTTTAGAAAGCGCTATTAATATCACATAACAATGTTATTTCACTTATTCTCCTTCCAATTTCAGCTTTAGTGTTTTAAGATTATATAATATTGGAAGAAAAATGTACGAATCCAGAATCAGCAAATTAAATCTTTTATAGGATCCCTTGATTTAGGATTTTGATGAAGAAGTGGACATTTGTAAACGTTACGGTGCAACACTGAGACGAATTTGACAGTACAACTGTATACCAATGTCAGTTTTTCTTCTACAATCATAATCCCAAACCAAGCAAAAAAGGAGCTAGCATGAAACATCTCTCAGGCTCTTCAGTGACCAAGGATCCATCCAGAGGGAAACGGGTAATCTTAATAACCACCGTGTTCCTGAAGCAACGACCGCGAGTAAGGCGAGATCAAGCCTTCTATTGAAGATGAATAACCACTGCCTTGGCCGATTAACTTCCTATATATTAGCCTCAAAAGGATCCAGTCAGACGTTACCTTAACTATTAGATCTATATAAATTATTCCGTATTATAGAACGGTCTAATTTTTAAAATTTATTTTACATATACACGTTGGTATATATTCCTAATTTCCATGTCACCCACCCCTTCACCCCTTCGATCTGCAAATTAGATTTCATCAAATTATCGATTTGGAATAATACAAAGCATAATACCTGATACGTATTCAGACACCAGCGCCATTTATATGTATATACATATTATGAATATATACAATATATGTAGATTATTAATATATAAACTTTGAACATATGTATAGTATATATCAGAGTAAGTATTGATCCATCATGTATAAATCTGTTGTTATCCTAGTATATAAGTAATACCACTTTGCAATGTCATGAAAATAACAATAATATAATGTACATCTATATGAAATTATTTGTTACGGTAATTCTTTGTTATTGGCATAATATATAATGTTATATAGAAAGTAGAAGTGGTATCAAATGTTCGAGAATGGGTAAGCTTACTCTATGGGATGCACCACACCCGCCACTTCTATGGTCTGTCCTAATGTATGAATACCTTTGTAATAAGTTATTCTTTATCAATCTACATATAGGCCTACTATTTCGCATTTAAAGAAGTTAACTGAATTTTGTTGTTGTTTTCTATTAATCTTTAAAATATTTTCAAAAAAATATATCTTATGCGATGACTTTGATATTTATTCTTGGGAAATGCGTAAATTGTGTGTGCGTTAGTGGGTGGAAAAAATATTGGCAGAGAGAAGAAAATAATAAGGTATCCACGCTAAACAAATATTAATTTTCAAAGGCTTCTTTTTTTGGAAAAAAATCCTTTCATGTTTTTTTGTATATTACGATATTTAACAAAGGTTTGAATATTATCCAATTGACATTGATAATCCTTTATTAAATAGTTCTTAAGTGAAACATAAAAAGGCTTATAATAATTATTTAAGTAAGCGGGCGATATTGTGTTCTTGATTTGTTTATCATCAGTATAATCTGAGATGCGTTTATTTTCAAAGGTCAACACAGTTTGACTCACTAACACGCAATATCTTTAATATACATTAATAATTGAATTTAAACTGCGATAAAATATCATCTGTACAATATGGACCCGTTATAACGGTTCATACCGCAAGTTTAAAGATTTAAAGTCGTTCGTCATAACCGTTTATTGCCAACCACGGTGAGTATTGAATATGCATCATTTGTATTCTATTAGTGTATTCTTTTCTGAGAAAATGGTCTGTAATATCAATATGTAGAGATTGTTTTTCATAAATAAACGATATCTATAAAAGAAGAGGGATTTTTGATATGTCGATGTTTAAACACACACAAATTCACTCTACAAAATTAAATTACACGTGGTATCCTTTCGATATTTTTTCAGTAGATGCTTTCCTTCAAATTCCATTGAGTAAACTTTAAAACTGATTGTTTTCAAGGTAATGAATAGGGTCAGAAGAGTTTGGAGATGTTGGTCACTAATTGTAGTCTCGTTTGAAAGGTTTTCTATTTTCAGAGTTTCAATCAAATCCGACCCATAAAAAACCTTTAGCCCAATATTTTATTTTAAGCTGAACAGTTTTTTTTAATCATTTGGCAATTGTAACGTATGAGTATGACCCTCTGATAATCATATTCAAACCAAGCGCTCAACATAAACTGAGTTCATAGTTCAGTTTACTTAAGAGTTCAGATTGTAAAGGGTGTAGTCAAAGATCTAGGAATTATCAGAATTCCACATCGTCATATAAACCAATTATGTGGCATACGCTTTATTCTCTCGATCATTGTTAAAAGGAGAGCATATAATAGAAATATTTTATCTCATCTACTTGCTAAATCACACGGGGTATGCAATACTGTAATCTGATTCAGAATAAAATGATAAAATTGTAGATTGTTAAAATGAACTTCAAGATATTTTTCTTCAATTTAAATTCTTGAAAAGTTGAAATTTTATTACTTCAAGAATGACATACAGCTTCTCATAAACCATAAGTATTGTTCCATCTAAATATTGCTTAGACTAACATGGGGCTTTTCCAGTAAATGGTTAAGACGAGATATTCGTCGATCTAACCCCGTCAGTAATGGACACAGGATCATAGACAATATTTTCTCCCAATTTATGATTATCTCAAATTTGTTTTAGCTCGGTCTATATTGAACGTGCAACAACTTCTTTGATGAAATTTATTATAAGATAAGCATTGAAACTTAAATTTCATATTTTACGTGTGGAATTTGAGTAATACATAATTTGAATGAAAGCATTTGTGACCTTGTGCCATGGGGAGTTAAAGATGCGTTTAACCTCGCCGATCCATGTGCCTCCGAACATATAAGTTTAGTCTCGGCCGACTATGATAGGATCATTAATTCAAACAGATATAAACTGTTATCTTCGTGGTCAATAAACATATCCCGCTCAACAGCCCTTTAACTCTCAAATAAAAGTAAACACAAAAGCTATATAGACGTTAAGAATTATTTTTAATCGCCATAAAAGTTTTCAAAACTTAACAAATATATCCATCAAATAATAAACATATTCTCATATTTTTGTTGAATTAATTCAGAAATAAAAAGAGAAAAAAAATTATGACATTCTTTGTGAATTATGAAGTGTGGATTTCTATAAGAATTAAACAAAAGAAAAGAATTTATACACAATACCAACTAATAACAATGATTATTAATAAAACTTATGTCTTATTCAGGTATTATTATACTATAGCACTAAATAATTATTCACGCCTTGGGCGCTTTAAACATAAAACACTAAAAGATGTAACAATAGGAAGAGACGCGTTCGAACCATCTCGAATTAAATTATAGCACGGGATGCATTAACACAACTTTTCAATAATTATTAAATTATTGTAAATAAAGAATAGGACAAGATCATTCTAAATCAGTGTTTGAAAAGCACGAAACATATTAGAATTCAGATTATTTATCCGAGCAAGCCAGACAAGTATCAGTGCAAAAACGATCCACTGGGATCAAATAAACAAAATACCAGATAAATTTGATCTTAATCTATTCCTTATTTCTTATCGTGAAATAAAAATTGAATCTATTTCATACAAATAATAAGGACATAAATTTCAGTTTTTTTTCTTATGTAACCCATTCGTGAATTCCTTATAAAACGGTTAATCTACAGAAATTCATTTATGTTTTATTACACCTAAAATAATTTCTCCAACGTAGTATCCCTTTGAACTATATTAATAAATTTAAATGATCAAACTGGCGATTTGTTCTAATACAAGTTGTCCCTTTAATGTCTATAAATTGATTAAACATTACACTTAACCATTTACTAAATATGTAATTTACTTAGAGACGATTTAAGATATATATAAATGTAATATGTACACTAACAATAATAACAAACACTAGGATGAAAAGCACATACTCACAGTCTCACACATGAAGGATAATGACGTCATTTAATTAGTTTTAATTGCAACATTATTATTAAATATCTATGAGTCCCAGTTGAAGGAATATTCTTGACAAAGCAATAATTAGTTAGCACGCTTGGATACCAAGTCATTTCTTTGTCAATATATACATTTAAAAATCCAAATACAGGTATTTTCACGTTATGTTCCCTTCTTTAATCTATACACACTATCAGTCACTGGGTCAGCTCCTTGCACTGAGATCCGAAGCCCCGCTTCGATTCTACAAAGCTGGGGTGAGATTTAAGGTTTATCCCTCAAAAAAATGTTTTTTTAAGAGTTTATATAACGGCCGGATGTCGAGGATAATGCTCATCTGGTTTTACCAACAGGTAAGCGACCGGCCTGTGAACGTCCTGGGATGGCATGTAAGTGGGTGGGCAGCACGGCACCAGATATTGTCCAGGGAGTCCAGGGTGACTGTGAGCTGCCGGAGGTAAACTTCCCAGGGAAGAACTATGAGGGGGTAGAGAGTACGGTGAGTAAAGAGGGTTCCCTGATAATTCTTGATGACGGAGGTTGAGAGAACTGGAATCTAGTTTACTTCCAGTTGGATCCAGGAAAGAGTACATGTGGTTGGCGAGTGAGGTGGGTGGAAGAAATGACCTCGCCTTTTCACTGAGACTACTTAATGATGACCCGTGTAGAGATTCCGATTGATGTCCGGTCATGGAGACAAAGTTGTGAGCCATACTTGTTAAAGCTGATGCATTCATTCCACTTAATCCCATGCCCATGCCCATGCCCATATTCATACCCATGCCTGGTACAAAAGGGATGGGAAATGCGTATTTATCCTTCCGTAATAAAGATTTAGGTTTTCGTCTTGGTCTGTATTTATAATCGGGATGTTCCTTAAGATGCAATGCCCTGAGTCTTTTAGCTTCATCAATGAAGGGTCTCTTCTCTTCCTCGGTAAGTAACTTCCAGTCTGCTCCTAATCTTTTACTGATTTCTGAGTTGTGCATTTTAGGGTTTTCCTGTGCCATTTTTCTTCTTTGTCCACGGGACCACACCATAAAAGCGTTCATGGGTCTTTTAACGTGATCATCTCTGACTCCTGGTGAAACACTTTCGGATTTTGACAAGGGTGACATACTCCTCCCGTCCGATTTAAACATTAGAGGAGAACCAGCTCCGTCGGGTGACGGCATCGTTGACATAGAATCCATTTTTTGAAGTTTTCACAATTATCAAAACGTTGTTAAAAATCCCAATACTTTAAAATTCTTTTTCGATCACTGCCAACACATTTGCTGTTAACTTTTAAACTTGTTTGATAACTGTCGTCTGCTATTTGTCAAATATCCTGCCTGTCTTGTTATTGTGTTCGGGTGTGAATCTAACCACTTCTGACAAGCTGACAAAGTTCACGTTTGTACTAATACTTCCCTAACTATACAATATCTCTTCAAGCCAATCACACAACAAACCATTCTAATCTCCGCTACTCAATATTTTAAAAGTCTTGCCCTAGGATACAGAGGCACAGTGGAGCTCATGTCAATCATTGCTTGAGATCTCAGCTATTGGCCGCCGTTACCATCACAGTGTTAACTGACTCCGCCTCTCGCAATTCTAATGGTCGACCGCAGTAGTGAAGACAGTCTGTTGTATGTCGGGGTTTCACAAGGCAAATAAAGGAGAATAACCGAACTAATAAATCTACTTTAAACATCTAATGACTCCATGGGAAACAGTACAGTGATATTCGTCACACTCGAAGCGATTCAATACACGTCAATCATGGGATAAGAAACGCCCACATATCAATACCGTGTTGACTGGTGTAAAGAAAGGGCGTGGAAAGCGTGTGTTTCATATTAACTGATCTAATCGAGGGATTACATGCGCGTGCAGATTGATACACAAGGTATTTTAATATGTTTTTGATTACTTTGAAATTAACTTTATGGCCTAAGAAAGTAACATTTACTCACAAATAGTAGATGTGCCAGAAATATTATTTTGAATTTGTTACTTTCAGTAAAACCGAAATTATGTACCTAAATATATATACATGTATCGATCAATTAACTCAAATTACATATTGTGAATATAATACAATATACCATAATTATATTCAATAGGTAATTACTTATGTCTAAGTATACATACTTATTGTGTAAATAAGTGACTGTGTAGAAATCAATGAATATCACTGAAGCACATTCTTGTTGTTCAAACATAATATACACCAGGAAAAAATGTCACGTTGTGTGTTTTCTTGTTTCTGTGTGTGTGTGTGTGGGGGGGGGGGGGTACTTTGGTGGCCGAATGGTTAACGCGGGCTCGCCTGATCACAAGGTCTGTCATTGAGTCAAGTGGCGTGGTTTCGAATCCCCACTTGTACGTGACAAGGAGTAGGGACGCCTGTCCAAGCTCGTGGGTTTTCTCCGAGTCCTCCGGTTTCCTCCCACTGCTAAAGACCCCTACGCGCTTCCGAATTATTGAAATTAATTTTGAACCATATATTACCTCCGAAATAATTATTGTTTTATTGTTCCGATAGTTAATAATTCTTTATCATTTGGTTAATATTATGGTTAAGCGCTGTGAGAACTATCAAAAATATCATATCAAAAACACTACATTAAAAGCAATCTGATCAAAAATACAGATCTATATTTCGTTTCGTTTTTATACTTTCTATAGCCCCCACTAAATGTAGTAGTGAAAACAGAAGACAAAAATGATAATTTCAACTATATGAAAAAAAAAAAAAAAATGAAACGAAATAAGATATTTGTGTTATTTAGATTACATTAGAACGTAAGGATTTCAATTGGGAAAAGGAACATTATGCTCTTAAAACAGTTATTCACAATCTTTAAATGTACAATTATTAAACCATGACATAATTATTAAAAAACACAAGAACAAACTATAATAATATAGACCTATTACTTATTTATAATATATTTGGCAATTTTCAATTTTAATAATTCAGTTGTGATATCTTCTTTTATAAAACGCAAAGATGTCATTTTTCCCCTTTTGAGAGAAAAAAAAAAATCCTATTCGATCGATGTTCTGTAGAAGCCGTGTGTGCTGTGTCAATTATTGCACGTGTCTGAAGACAATGATCACGTGCTCCTGAAAAGTTCTATTAACGCTTAAAGAAATAGACGATATAAAGCTAACCAAGAAAATAACGGTGATGTTTAAAATTAGAATGTAATATAAATACTATAAACCAAGATAAGTCTTTTCTGTATCTATATTTAGAATAAACCAAGAGAGTCTGTTTAGTGTCTATAGACGGATTATTATTTCGTACATTGTGTTCTAGCCCTTAGGTTAAATATTATTGGTTAGTGGTTGCAAACTTTTTACCCCTTTGAACATTGTGTAAATCTCTGAGAACATCCATGCCTTCATTTACTCTGTTCAGTCGGATTTCCCATATTAGGGATGTTAGGGACTTATGGCGCGTGCCACCACATTTTCCATAAGTACGTGGTGTCATTTCAATTAATGGCCATTTTCTTTATACCAACTATTTCATATTCAATTTTACTTGGCTATGTTTTTCTCACGACACCCATATAGGCTCCGTCCACTGTTTATAGGACTATTTCAATAGCGCTCCACAGCCCTTACTTGTTACCCCCCCCCCCCCCCAAAAAAAAAAAGAATAGTCGTCTGAATAATATATTGCGTAATATAAGCTATAAGTTTATCGCTGATATGCCCCCCAGCTTCGTCCCTTTTCCACGCATGCGTATTACATATTTAACGTGAAATGAGAATTTATGAACCACGAGAACACAAAAAAAAAAAAAAAAAAATACGAAATGGCGGTTACTGAAACTAAAATATCTACAAAACTTAAATTGTTGAGCCGAATTAAGATTTTAGAATTAAGTATAACCAGGACCAATCAATATAAACAATAAGTATGGAGTTCGCCCGTGTCAGGTTTGGTTTCTTTTCATTTTGAATTAGCATCTGGAGCCTTAAGCCACCTGACGACTTCAATCATATACATGTATATACTTATTGTCAATCTATGTTTAATAAGTCCGACGATCATATTGTTTTCATACATTTCGATTTTCCAATTTCAACATCTTTTTCTCTTTTGTTGCAAATCCTTTTTTCTGGTAATTTGATCAATGTTGTTTTGTTTGATATTTCTAAAGAAACTCAACAATGATTGGTGGTTATTGTCTATGTGGTAGACTAGGTCATCAAACCTCGGACCGAACAATAACAGACTAATCTACATATGAATATTTACACATGTTGCCCGATTTGTGTTTTTTTACTGCAATAATTTATTCATAATAAAAATAGGATTTCTAATTATTATAGTGAAAAATGTGTTGAATATGTGGACAAAAATATCAATACAAGAAAAGAATATTATACCATTAACTTCATGTCATAAGAAATAAAACTCATAATCGAAAAGACAAATGCCATAATTTCATCAGTTTGACGGTATTTTTCAACAATATTTATTCAATCTTTCTTTTTAAATTTCAGGCTAACCTGTATTAATAAAATATTAAATACCAGTTTACGGAAGTCGACTCTACAATATTATAGTTAATAAACTGCGCTAATTCTATTTGAAAGACTATCCTAGTCCGGCGAAACTATCTGAAGCTTTGTGATACTTTCAGGTTTCCTTACGGATTGTTGACTTTTCCAAACACATATACGCACATGCAGTAGTCTTCTTGTATTAGTGTTTAACGCAAGCTTCCACATATATTTTTATTATGCTTAGCGAACGCGCAGGGGTATTTCCGGTGGGGGACACCCTAGACCACTAGTCTCAGCTCACATGCAGCGAGCCTATAAAAAGATTATCAAGACATGCAGTATTGTCTGCGATATCACCTCGGTGGAAGCGGACGTAAAATACAACTAACAAACAACATGCAGTAGGAAGAGGGGTGACATAGGCCGAGCCTATTCCCCAATCTTTTTCTTATTGAAGAAATTATATTTTAAAAAAACACCTAAATCATGCAGTAGTGTGTCTAATATCTTGATTTAATGCCCGCTTCCACCGACCTGATATCGCAGACAATCATACAGTAGTGTCTTGATAACCTTTTTATAGGCTCGCCACGGTGTGGTAGTTCTGTTTGGATAGATTTAGGTTTTGGATAGTCTAGTTCCTGAAAAAACATAGAATTAAACGTCACGTCAACACAATTCTCGTAGACCAGCGTCACCGTCCATTCTTCGTACCATCCAACCTACTAGACAATCTCGAATGAAGAACGACAGTTATTTTTGCGCACGAGAGTCAAATGGTGTTTAACGCCCACACGAGTCATATTGGTGCTAACATAATATGGTACACTTTTATTTCAGTAATTCGCTTACGTGTAGGGGTTTTTAGCAGTGGGAGAAAACCAGCTAGGTTTGGCAGGCCACACTTACTTCTTATCAGGTAAACGCATCCGATCGAAACCACGCCTACCAATGACAGACCTTAAAGTAGCTAAGTCTCTAAATCAATATCATCCAAAGTCTTACACGTTGAAAACACTAATTATTTGTCAATTCAAATTAACATTGATGTTGTTAGCTTTCCGGGAAAATGTAGGCTTCTGATATCCAATATTTAAGACAAAATAAACATTTTACCATTGGTATACGAATCGTGTACCATAGTGCGTTTCATCGTTATATGTAACAAGTGACCAGAAAGAACGAGGCTAGACATATTCCACAACTCATGTCAAACGGCGACGCCTTAACTTATCTGGAGAGCATGCGCAATAGACTGGAATAACCAGACTCATGCCGTATTTCGCTGGACATAACTGATTTGAAATTATAGTCAAAACGGAAACAATTGAATGTAAATCAGTTCATATACAACCAGATTGCATTATTATATACGTTGCGACCCATTTGGGTAAATTTCTAGGTCCCAAATATTAGTGATTTAGCTCCTTTAAGATTTATAACGCGCACTGTTGGGGTTGCTTTATTATTTAATAAAATATATGGCTAAATTAATAGGGTTGTAGGTATTTATCTTCTGATATCTATATTGTCTACTGACTTCATATGGTAATATTCACATCAGATCCAGGATGTCTAATTAAAAGTATTGGTTGCGAAATAGACTAATATTATTGTACACAAAGATGGATACCAATGGACGGTTAATGGTCAACAACGATAGAGTTGCCATTAAGAATAATTATCATGGACGACGTAATAAACTCCGCTACAAATTATAGAAATAGGAATTGACCAGTGTGAAGAGACAGCCAGAAATAAACCCACACAGCATTATAAAGACGAAAATTGTCTCAAGGCCAACATAAACAAATATAACCAATTCCACCAAATCATTGTTTAATAGAAACCATTCCGTTTGAAGTAAGGGGTCTTTAAAACAGCATTTATTAAGGCGCAATATGGAATCTCTTTGTAAACAACAAGAGTGGTATTGAGCCTTTAAAGAAAATTCATACTAATAT